CCACCATCACCACTATCATAACTATTGATTCATTTCAACAAATATTGATTAAGCAGCCATAATGTCCCAAGACCTGTTCCTTGGATACAGCCAGACCTCATTAGCAACCCTCCTATTCCTGTCACCATTTCCTGTTTCTGTCACCAGACTACAACAGGGACTTAGAAGGACTTGATGTGCTCTTACAGACTGTGGAGCCCTTAGATCAGACGAGATCGGGCGCGTTCAGGGTGGTATGGCCGTAGACCTTTGGAGCCCTTAGAAACCTCTGGTATCCGGAGGGCCAACCTTGTAGTCCATGTAGGGTCTTCAGGAAGACTTGGAAGGGAGGGAGGGAGGACAGGTCCTTTTTCTTATGAATCCTACCCCTTTGCTCCCATGCGGAGTCGGATGTGTGCTCTGCTACCCTACACACCCAACTTTTTCAAAGCAGACCAGTCTTTGGGCTTGGAACGCTTTTGTGCGTGCCAGAAGGGCTGTTTGCCCCCAGGCTCCATGCTGGGCCCAAGAATCTGCATTTAACAAGGGTCTCAGAGTGGGTGCTCCTCGTGGTGGCAATAAGAAGGGCCCTGGGCCTCTGTTGCCAGGCCCAGCCAGGGGGACTAGATGAAGCCTTCCTTCTCTCTGCGCTCTCTGCAGACACACCAAGATGAAGACAGCCACCAACATTTACATCTTTAACCTGGCCCTGGCAGACACTTTGGTGCTGCTGACACTGCCCTTCCAGGGCACAGACGTCCTCTTGGGCTTCTGGCCTTTTGGAAATGCCCTGTGCAAGACGGTCATTGCCATCGACTATTACAACATGTTTACCAGCACCTTCACACTGACTGCCATGAGTGTGGACCGCTACGTAGCCATCTGCCACCCCATCCGTGCTCTCGATGTCCGGACGTCCAGCAAGGCCCAGGCTGTCAATGTGGCCATCTGGGCTCTGGCGTCTGTCGTCGGCGTTCCCGTTGCCATCATGGGCTCAGCACAGGTCGAGGAGGAAGGTCAGTGGGGTGGCCCCTCTTCCCCAGTGCTGTTGTCTCCTGGATCCCAGAGGGTCCCTCCTGGTTTATCCACCTTGACCCCGCTTTTCCCCCTGCAGAGATTGAATGTCTGGTGGAGATCCCTACCCCACAGGACTACTGGGGCCCCGTGTTTGCCATCTGCATCTTCCTCTTCTCCTTCATCATTCCCGTACTCATCATCTCCATCTGCTATAGCCTCATGATCCGGCGGCTGCGTGGGGTCCGCCTGCTGTCTGGCTCCCGAGAGAAGGACCGGAACCTGCGGCGCATCACACGGCTCGTGCTGGTGGTGGTGGCGGTGTTTGTGGGCTGCTGGACGCCCGTCCAGGTCTTCGTGCTGGTCCAGGGGCTGGGCGTGCAGCCGGGCAGTGAGACTGCTGTGGCCCTCCTGCGTTTCTGCACGGCCCTTGGCTATGTCAACAGCTGCCTCAACCCCATCCTCTATGCCTTCTTGGACGAGAATTTCAAGGCCTGCTTCCGAAAGTTCTGCTGCACTCCTACCCTGCGCCGGGAGATGCAGGTGTCCGACCGCGTGCGCAGCATTGCCAGGGACGTGGCCCTCGCATGCAAGACCTCCGAGACAGTACCACGGCCCGCATGACTAGGCGTGGACCTGCCCATGGTGCCTGTCAGCCCACAGAGCCCGTCAACACCCAACACGGAGCTCACCCAGGTCACTGCTCTCTAGGCTGACACCCAACCTGTGTCCTGAGCATTGCCAGACTCGAGGACTTCACTGTGGCCGCAGAAGGCCTGGTGACATCCTGGGACAGGTCAGACTAAAGCTGCCCTCCTGGTGCCGAGCAGAGAGGGGACACCCACCAGTGAGTGTGCCTGGCCAGAGCCCATGCCAACACCCTCACACATCATGGACTCTTCTGGCCCCTCCCCTGCGGCACCCTGCGTGCTCTTGGTATGCACACACCTGGAGGTGTGACAGCAGCGGGCCATCCCACGCCCTTGTGCCATGTGCTGTCTGCATGGAGCCCTGCAGCCCCTCCTTGGGGCAGCCGGATGAGCTTGGAGCTGCCTAGAGAGCTGGCATGCTCTGTGGGCAGTAGGGCTTGGAGTTGCTGATATGGACTTGCCTGGGACTCGACTGCTGTCACCTCCTCGTCCCCCACTCCTGCTTCTGAAAGGTTTCTCAGAGAGGTTTTTCGCTCCAGAAGCACAAAGAACTGTCAGCCACAGACGTGGCTGTCCAGGTGTGCAGAGGTGGCTCAGAAGGACGGTGGGCTGCTTGATCACCTCAGGCCACTCTGTCATTCTTGAAACAGCCCTGTGTGCCTGGTCTTGGCTGCGCAGTGCTGGGGCGGGGGCGCGCTCTGCCATGCTCTGTCTGGGGGTCCATGGGTCCTCCTTGGCTCTCTTGAAATCAGAGGTCAGCAGCTATGCAGCTGACCGGACCCTGCGCCCTGCGTGGATCCTGGTGGACTTGAAAGAGGAGTGGCAGTTGGGGTGGGTTGTGCTCTGCCTCTCCAGTGACTGATAACTGGCTTTGTTTACAAGCCTCCAGGTGTCTGTGGGGAGGCTTGAGCTTCCTGCTGTCAGGACTAGTCTTAAATGGTGCCAAATCAGGGTGGCTTCACATGCAGGGCTGGTATAAGGGGTGAGGCTTGACAGGGCCTCCTTGAGCCAAGTGTGAGAACTGCCTGGTGTGGGAACACTGTTCGGGGCAGAGGGTCTCCCGGCGGTGGTCACCCTCCCTGGTCTGCAGATGGAAGCTGCAGTTTGGTAACTTTGCAAACACTCTTCCCTGCAGATAAACTATTGAAATACAACACTGAAAAGACTATTTTGCCTCCACCTGTGAGCTGAGCTGCAGACCTCAGCCAGGTGACCTTAGGCACCTGCAAACAATAGGAAGCACTGACCCTGGGCTGGCTTCTCCTGCTTCAGGGAGCCCTGGCTCTGTGGGGTCATTCCTGGGGAGGATGGAGCTGTGGGAGGCTCTGGAGACGGTAGCTGCCACAGCTGGGGCATTTTCATGACAAGGCTGAAAGATTTGTGATTTGTGCTGGTGTAACATGTATCTTCATGTATTTATGCATGCGACAAGTGTGAATTCCCCTACATGTAATCAACCCTGATCTTGCCTCCGGGGGTCATTGGGGGCCATAATAAATCCCTGCCCACTGAGTAGGTGTTTCTGACTCTTGTGGGGTGGGGCTGTTGGGGTAATGAGTCCTCCCACCTGCTCTGTGCTCCTCACCTGGCCAGGCTCCATCTTTAGCGGACGGTACCCCTTGGAGGTTGCAACTTCAAGAAGGTGTGATTAGTTCATGATGCCCTGGAGGTCTGTAACCTTTTCTTCAGCACAAATAGTTTCTCCTTGAAAAACCAACTACTGCAACTCTATCCTGCCCCCTGCTGCTAGAGGTTCCCTGTGGATCCAGTGTGTGGGGGGGTGCTCTTCCCACCCGGGTCACACCTTTTTTTCACCCCATTTAGTCTCAGCAGACCCCCTTCCTGCCCCAGCCCTTTTCTCCTTTCTTGAGCAGACCCAAGGGGAGTTTTGATAGAAGATGAACAGAACAGCCTCCCTTGATGGCCCTGAGATGTGGACATACCTCCTGGCTCCTGTGTGGACCCAGTTCTGCCCAGGTTGACCCTACAGGCGGATGACCCTCTCAGAAAGAGGGGCTTCGGAGGAGGCAGCAAGGGCGAGCTTGGGTTGCACTGGCAGATGGGCCAATGTGCAGTTTCATACAAGTTTTACTGATGGTCACTTTGCTGTTAAAATAAGTATTTAGGGGCGCCTGGGTGGCTCAGTCGTTAGGCGTCTGCCTTCGGTTAACCTCATGATCCCAGAGTCCTGGGATCAAGCCCCGCATCAGGCTCCCTGCTTAGTGGGAAGCCAGCTTCTCCCTCTGCCACTCTCCCTGCTTGTGTTCCCTCTCTTGCTGTGTCTCTCTGTCAAATAAATAAAATCTTTAAAAAAAAAACCAACCAAGTATTTCGCATCAAGGGGAGGTTTGGGAGCGGTGGGCCTACAGCGGCAGGTACATGAAGAGTGCTCAGTGTAGGTTTGGCGGCGGCGGAGGGGGCTCAAGCGTGGGACCTGGAGGATGCTGACCGTCCTGCCGCGTGGGCGGCGCATCCAGGGCCGAGATGGGTCGTGAGGGGTCAAATGAGCCGCACCCGGCAGGAGCGAGGAGCCTGCGAGAGTAGTTCGCAGGCCGTCGGAAGCGGGGTCACAACCCTAGCTCTGCAGGACCGTGCCTGGCTCTTGCCGGCCGCCCACCTCCACCCCCACCACTTCTCGGACCAGTTTCCTCCCGCCTCCTCATCCACCCCGCCTCGGCCCCGCCCCACCTTCGCCCTCCCCTCTGCTCCCACCAACTCCTGGGTTTGGTCAAGTGTTCCGGCTTCTCTCAGGTCCTGCAGAAGGGACGGCTAAACGTTCCTTGCGGGTTTGTGGGGGAAGGCCCAGGCTGTGGAGAAAGCCCGGGGCCGGAGGTGGGGTCAGCGGCCGGTTGCACTGCTAGGGATGCGGAGGGCTCTCCTGCCGCTTTGGACTTTGCCCAGCAGGGGCGCTGTGACCGCGGAAGCTCCGCGGTCCGCAGCGGCTGGGGGATTTGGACCCCGTGGGGGAGGGCCGGGCTCTCCCTGGGTCGAGGAGTCCAGAGGTTGGGGACACTCTCTCCTCTCGCCCCAGCCCATCTCAGGAAGTCACAGTGGGGGGTGTGGAGACAACCAGCGTTGGGGTGGGGGCGGGTGTTGGCCTTTTCCTGGGGCCCCGCAGCTCGCTTGGGCAGGATCTTGGTGAGGATTCGCCTCTCTCCTCTTCTTGGCTGGCCCGTGGCTCCCCGTCCTTGGGGTCTCACGCTTGCACGAGGACCCTCCCTCCCATCGGAGGGGGGGATGGGGCAGGGATATGTGCGCCGCTTGGCTGATCCAGATCTGACTTGGTCCCCGCCATGGTGTTCCCGGTGTTGCTGGGGCCAGGGGGCAAACGGGGGCAAGGTCTCTTATTCTCGCGCCCCTCTGCTCCCATCCTCTCCCCTCCTGTTCCCTGTTCTGCTTCTCAGGCAGCTGCTCTTTGTTGCTTCTGCGCCCTGTTCACACACTCGTTTTCACCTCACAGTGCCTGCACCTCAGGTGGGTGTTGAGAGTCTCAGCTCCTCTCCTCAGGAAGCTTGCAGGGGCAGGGCTGGTGCCGAGGCGGTAATTAGGGCTGCTACTGGTAGAGGAATGACCGCACTGCAGTGAGGAGACAGGACCCAGAATCTTCCAGGGAGAAACGTGGGTGTTAGTGAGGGTTTCAAAAAGGTCCACAGCCCCTGCGTGTGGGCTGGGCTTAGTGACTTGCTTCTAATGAATAGAATGTGGCAAATGGCTTCCAAGATGGTCTTACATGGTGTGGAGGCTCCTCTTCCTTCTCCCTCTCCACCTGCTTGCCCTGTGGGACCAGCTGCCCCGTGGTGAGGACGCCCCAGCAGCCCTGGGGAGAGTCCACGTGGTGAGGACCTGAGGCCTCCTGCCACAGGCCACGTGCAGGGGCCTCCTTGGAAGCAGCACCTTCAGCTCCGGCCCAGCCTTCAGGTGACCGGAGCCTCCGCCGACTGCTGACTGTAACCTCAGCAGAGTCCCCGAGCCAGAACCACTCCAAACCTGCTCCCAAATTCTTGACCCACAGGAGCTATGAAATAATAAATGTTTTAAGCCATTAGGTTTTGGGGAAATTTGTTATACAGCAATGGATTACAGTGTTGTCAGGGAAGAGAACAGGGCAGAGGTGGTATTTGAATTGTTTCAGGCAGAGAGAGAAGAGCGGAGAGGGTTGTGGGTCTGAGCTCCAAGGACCCATGTGACTGGGGAAGCTGGAGTATGTGAAAGGTGGCAGCCACGCACCATGGGGTGACCTCACGGGGTGGTGAATTGTGGGTGCTGCATGTCAGGTGGACACACTGCGCCACGAGGACTACAACCAGTCTGGGCCCCTGTGAGGGCATTGGGAGGTGCCAGTGACTCAGAATAGCACAGCTAGAGAACCAGGCATAGAACCAGCTGGGAGCCACGGGGCCACGGGTGGGGAGCCTGGCTGAGGCCCACCAGGGCAGTCATCAGGGACTTGACCCCCCTCTTCCCCCCTCCTGGCAGAAGATGGTCTCTGAGCAGCCAGCACCTCAGTGTCCTCACCCTGCCCCCCGAGGTTCAGCATGGAGCTCCTGCTGGATGAATCTAGGCCCCAGCCCATACCCCAGGGAGAAAGGGGTCCAGATACCAGCCCATCCAAGTAACAGATGCCCGCTCTAGAGGGTGGGCGTGCAGAGGTCCTGGCAGGAGCACCCTGGGTCCTATGGCAGGATATGAGGGGGCCACAGGCGGCATGGGGGGCACAAAAGGGGCGTGGGCCAAAGCATGGGGGGTCAAGAGAGGGCACACAGAGGGCACAGGCCTCCTGGTGAAATGCCACCCAAGTTTCAAGCGATGAGAGTGCATTCCGTGGCCTTATTTGAGGACTGAGTCTGTGGCTTTTGCAGTAACACTTGGCTTTCCTGCCCCAGGTGCTCACACTTTTATCATCTGTTAGTACTGTCTTGGGAGGAGCCAGCCTGACGTTCCCGGTTGTGGAATGCAGCGGTGGCCCTGGGATGAGATCACAGTTCGGCTTTCTTTCCCTCCAGATTACGGTTGTCAGGGAGGACGGGGAAGGAGCATCCAGGGAGGTTGTCCGTCTGTCTGTCTTTCAGCAGGTGAGTAGAGTCAGGATGTCTGTTGTGCCAAGAACTTTGGCCTGGGTCAGATCAGCAGGGTGGGGCCAGGGCCTGTATCCCTGCAGCTCCTCACCCGGGGGCTGTCCAGGAGGCAGCCATGGGAAGCGACAGGCTCATGGTCATCCCTGCAGGTGCGGTGGCCAGCCTTCGTGGGTCTTTCTCTCTCTGTGTGGAGAAGATAGTGATGGCATGTGAACAAGTGGGCCGTCCCTCCGAAGCGACAGCACTTTTCCTAACAGACACACTGGGGCTCTGGTGGGAGGGGTGCCCAGGCCCCTGGGCACCAGAGTGTGCTCCAGAAGCTGTTTTGGAAGCTCTCACAGGAAGGCATAGAGGAAGGGGTTGAGACAGGAGCTGGTGTAGCTGAGGCTGGTGATGACGTAGAAGATGCTGATGACCAGTGGTGTCTGGGGCAGATCTGTGGTCAGGGCCACGATGGAGGCCAGGTGGAAGGGCGTCCAGCAGAGCAGGCCCACAGCCAGCATGGCCAGGACCAGGGTGGTCACCTTCCGCTTGGCCTTGCCCAGAGCTCTGGAGTGGAGTTGCAGGGCCCACAGCCGACGTAGCAGGTCCACACAGAGCACACAGAGGGTGCGCACGGGCACCAAAAAGCCCAGGACCAGCAGGTAGATGCGGCTGGCCTTGAACCAGGCCCTCTCAGGCTGTGGGAAGCTCAGCCCGCAACTCGTGACCTGCAGCTCATTGCTGTAGACACCGGCAAAGGCGAAGAAGGGCAGCACCATGATGGTGACACTGATCCAGACACACAGGCTGGTGATCTCTGCCCCCCGGAGGGTCCGCCGGGGCACATGGCGGGACTGTGTGGTGGCCAGCACCACCAGGGAGCGGTCCACACTCATGGTGGCCAAGAAGTAGATGCTGGAGAAGATGTTGTAGTGGTCGACGGCCAGCACCAGTTTGCAGAGCAGCTCCCCGAAGGGCCAGCGCTGCAGCAGGTGCTCCGTGATGTTGACAGGCAGTACCAACGTGAAGAGACCGTTGGCAACGGCCAGGTTCAGGATGAACACGTTGGTCACTGTTGTCATTTTGGGCACCCTCAGGATCACATAGATGACAGCTGTGTTGCCTGTCAGCCCTACGGCACAGATCGCGGAGTACACTGCTGGCAGGAACTCATAGAGGGCTGGCAGGGGCTCATGGAGGGTGACGTTGTGCCTGGTGCCATTGTCCCAAGTGCGGTTGGCGCCCATTGCAGCCTGGAAGGGGGAGCCTCTGCTTTCAAGGGGATCCAGCCCAGCAGCCTGCATCCTGAGGTGGGACCCAGGGCCGGTGGGAGGTGCCTTGGAGTGGGGAGTCTGGGTAGGGGCCTCCTTGGGCTGGATTCTGAGAAAGAGACAAAGAGAAATTTGGGATCTGACTCTGAGCTTAGAACGGCAGTGGCCTCAAGTTCTCTGGCAGAGGCTGTGGCCATTTTGCCAGGGTTGAGGACACACGGGGTCTCTCTCCATCCTCCCCTGTCCTGCCCCACCTGTGCGCAATTTACCTGGGATCGAGGCAGTGCCTTTACAAACATACCTCCCAGGCTCACCCCTGTCCCCTTCAAATCCGGGGGTCCTGAAGCCAGAGCCCTCCCAGTCATACCCTCTTCAGGGCCCCCTGCGCTTCGCCCCACTGACCTGTCTGACGACACGTGGCCCCAAGTCGGTGGCCTGGGTGGGCGTGTGAAGGAGGTCAGTGCAGGCTGTGGCAGGGGTGGAGGAGGGGGGTGAGGCCCACTGACAGGCTCTCACCAGGCTCCCACTCGGCTCTTGACTGTCTTGGGGGGGCTTTTAGGACCTGCCTGGTCAGCAGCCTCAGCGTGAGCTGGCTTCCTGGCAAGGTCTGCAGCCCGGTGACAGCGCTAAGGAGCAGTGAAGGAGCGAGGCAGATCCTACTGGTTGAGGCGGAGCTCCGGGAACAGTGTGGGCAGAAGCTGCGGCAGCCCCTGTCGTCATCCCCAGGGTCGCTGCAGTGCTCACTCGCCTGGGTGGATTCTCCAGTGGGGGCCCTCTGTGTGTGTGTGTGTGTGTGTGTGTGTGTGCGCACATGTGCTGTGTGGGAGGGCATGCAGTGCAGGGGCCTCTAGCGGGCCCAGGTCTGTTGGGGGGGCATGTCTGTGGGTCTCTGTGGACCTGGGCACCCTTATCTGTGTGTGAGGGGGCCTTGGCGGTCTTGTCCCACACCCTCTGTGTGTGCATGTGGTTTCTGTGGTAAACTCTGTACCTGTGTCCGGGGGGCTCTGTGTAGGTCCCAGCTGCATGTAGTGATCTGGGGGGTCTGGATGTCTTTGTGGGGAAGCAGAATTTGTTGCCCACAGAAAACCCAACGTGTCTCTGTCTCTCTCTTTTTTTTTTTTTTGCTGAGAGAAGAACCCATACGTGTGCAAAAACTACACACGTGGTGGAAGTCTGTGGAGAGAAGGTGACTGGCTCTTGTCCAGCTCCTGGTCCCTCCGTGAGCTGCCCACTGCCGCTAACCACTCTCAAAGGCTTGTTCGATCCTAAAACCCAGACTGCTGCCCAGCACCATCTCCGGCTGGTTCCTCAGCATGACTTCTGCGTTGAGGCTCCGTATGTTTCCAGTCTGGGGAGACATGGCTGCCCACTGCCGGCAGAGTGTCCCCCACCCTCCCCACCTGCCTGCTTCCCTCACCAGACTTGCCGCTCCCGTGTCCCTATGGCCTGAGTCAGGGCGGGAGCCTGGGCAGTTGGCCAAACACCCTGAAGCCACCAGGTCTGGGGCCCATGTCTGGGGGCACCAGCCTCCCCTCCCATGGGCCCAGAGGTGGGCACAGCAGGGTGTGGGGGGCCTGCCAGCCTCAGCCAGGGGCTCCAGCTGTCCCTCCAGGGCTGGGCCTCCACCCGGCAGGGGACCCTCAAGGTAAGACCCACTTCACACCCTGGCAGCTCCAAGGATCCTGGCCTCCAAATGGGCCTTCACTCAGCTTCACGCAGGAACATGCCAGCATTTGTCTCTGCTGTGTGTAGGGCACCGTGGCTAGAACTTACTCTGGAACAATTCACTGTCCCACATGAACACCCTCAGATTTCATAGATTTTTTAAAAAGCCATATTTATTTATTTGAGAACGAGAGCGAGAGCGAGCGCGAACGAGCGGGGTGTGGGTGGAGGCAGAGGGAGAGTCTTTTATGCAGACTCCGCGCTGAGTGTGGGGCCTTCGCAGGGCTCGATCTCACGACCCCGATTTCATGACCCTGAGATCGTGACCTGAGCTGAAACCAAGAGTTGGACACTCAACCGACTGTGCCACCCAGGGCCCCGATTTCACAGAGTTGAATGAGGAGGTTCTCTTTGAGACGTCAGGGAGGCTGTCCCCCTTGCTTCTGTGAACCAGCCTGGGCCTGGGTCCCCTGGGTAGGAGGGGGCGGCCCTTCGGTCCGGGCAGGACAGGCTCTGGAGCATGAGTGTGCTCCAGGTTGAGAACCAGCAAGGCCGGGGGCTGGAAGTCAGGAAGTGTGAGGAGAAGCCATGTGGGGGCTCCGTCCTACAATCGGGCTGGACTTGGTGATCTGGGGGTACTTGTGTGGGGGGCTGTGGTGTTGGATTAGCTCACCGTCCCTGAACACCAGAGACAGGATGGAGAGGAGTTTGGGCGCCCCACTCCCCTAGCCGTGCGGCCTGTGTGTGGGCTGTGCAGAGGCTGACCACTCTGGGCCTGGATGTGGGCCTTCCCCGGGAGGGCTGCTGGGGGTCCCCATCCCCTGCTCACCTTGGGAGGGGCCCCGGGCTCTGTCTGCCCTCTGGCCAGCATGTAACTGATTGGTGTCCTGTCTTGCCCTGAGCACAAGTCCTGGGGTGGGGGTTCTTCACAGCGAGGCTGCCCTTGAGGGGACCCTTGTAGCAAGACACCAAATACCACCCCAAACTTTCTCTGGAGCTGGTAATTCCAGGCAGGTCTTTTCTCAAGCCCTCGGGAAGGGAACAGCCCAGTATCAGAAGAAACCCCAAGAATCCTCCTGGGGTTTCCCCCTATGCTTCTGGCTCCCTCTGAAGCAAACCTGAGTCTGGGTTTCACCCCACCAGAGTCTGGCTGGGTCTGGGACTCTGAGCCCCTCCCAGGCCTGCTCTCTGCTCTCCTGAGTCTGTCCTGGGGGCCGGCCCGGCTGCCCACTCAGCCTATCACATCTGAAGTGGGATGGGGGTGGCAGATGGGAGGGTGGGGTCCCAGGGGCAGCAGGGGCTGGGGGAAATGGGGGCACCGGCTGTGGGTGCTCAGGACCCCAGGGAGCCAGCTCCAGCCTTGTAGGTGCAGTGGCACCCAGATGCCTCTTCCCAGCCGCAGAAGCCCCTCATCCACGGCCCCACTGCAGCAGCACAGCCCAAGGGCCGCATGCCCCAGCCCTTACCCCCTCAGCCCTTCGTTCTGCCCGGTGGTTGGGCATCACGGGGGTGTCATTTTGTGGAAATGGTTTCCATTTTCAGAACCGAGTCAGGCGAGGCCTGTGGAGAGGAGCCGTGGAGGGGTGTGTGTGTGATGTTAAGTGTTGGTGAGCATGGATTTGTGCATGGCTGTGTGCAGCTGTTCACATGTTGGGAGGAAGCAGATCCGAAGAGCCCAGGGGAGCTCTTCCCCCACCAGTGTTGTGGGGAGTGAGTGGCAGGACCCTGAGACACTGTAGAAACGAGCAAGCTCAGTCGTGACACTTTCTATTTTTTTTTACTTATTTGAGAGACAGAGCTGGAGCGGAGGGGTGGGGGATGGGGGAGAGGCAGAGGCGAGGGGGAGGGGCAAGCAGACTCCCCGCCGAGTGTGGGGCTCCGCCAGGCGCCCTCTTCGTGATGGCTTTATTCTCACTGTCATTTCCGTTGGGTGTGGCAGTCACCTTCCACCCGGCCCTGACTAAACCGGGCTACTTGGGTCTTCGCACACTTACACACACTGCTGCAGGCCTCTGCAGACACGTGGAGACATAGAGACACGCACTTACTTTCGCACACACACTTAGGCACACACGCACTCACACCCACGGGGCTTACCTGTGTGCCACCTCAGCTCCTTGCAGGTGGGTCTGGTGGGTGGGGGCGGGGGCTTTGCCCTGCAGGCTAGAGTCCAGGCCTGTCTGCTCTCCTGCTGTCCCCCTCACTGGCTCACCAGGAACAGGGACAGCCTGTGGCTTGCAGCCCTGCAGGTTAAGTGCTCCTCAGAGTGCCTGGGCCTCAGCCGTCTCTCAGCAGGTACCAGAAGCTTAGTTCACTGGAAAAAGACAAATGATTCAGGGCCCATTTCCCTACGATGGGAACCAGGTTCTCCCACTTCTCCAGGGAAGCAGAGAGAGCTCTGTATTTATTAAACAGAGGAGGGCTCCTCCCCTTCAGGACTCCCTCCCTGCCACTGGGCGCCCAGCTGCCTCCCCCTCCCCCAACAGTGGGCACTGAGCTGTGCCGAGGGGCACGTCGTGGCTTGGGGGTTCCTGTGCCAGGCTGTGAGGGAGGCCTCTGGCTCAGGGAAGGTGGGAAAGTCCTCGGGGCAGCCAGACTGAGGTCCTACAAGGGCTTTTGCTCAGTCAACTCTCAAATACCCCAACTCTAGGCTCAGAGTCAGTGTCTGCTCCACAAAAGAATACAGCAGTGAACAAAGAAGAGAAACCTCCTGCTCTCACAGGGCCGACCCTGTAGTGGGGAAGCATCAGTACAGTGTAAGCTGTGGTCAAGGACAAGGCACGCTATGGGGAAGCACAGCTGAGGGGCCTTGCAAGTGTGTGTGTGGAGGACAGAGGGTCACGGGGGAGGGAGAGGCCTTCGGGGAGGAAGGAGCCGGGGCTTTGTCTGCCCTACTGGGGCTACTGGCTCTTGTTTGTGTGGAAGTTTTGAGGAGCGGAGGATGGTCCTGCCAGGTCCCCAGGTGGAGAGGGTCTGTGAGGTGAGGGGGTGGAGAAGGCCAAGGAGGCTGGGGGAGGGTCCTTTGCAGGAGCCCTGTCTTGGGGGTCTGTAGGGGCAGTCAGGTCAGAGGACAGGATAACATCCAGAATCCATCTAGCTGTGGGCAGCACCAACCCCACCTGAGGTCTTTGGGAAGCAGGGTTTGGGGCAGCCTAGGCCGCGGCTTGAGGCTGGTTGCTCACAGCCTGCCCGGGCTCTGGCACCTGCCCCACCCAGACACAAGCTGAGAAACACCCAAGCAGGAAGGAGGCCTGATGGCTTCCCAAGGCAGCCCAGGTCCTTCTCAGCCTGGGAGGGTCATTGAGGTCCACTACCAGAGAGCTTACTTCTTCCTGTCCCCCAGAAACTCAGATCAGGAGGGATGGGGG